CTTGTCAATGAGGCAGATCAGATTCCGATTTGACGGGCAGCCAATCAGTGAAACAGACACACCTGCACAGTTGAAGACACCACGGATGTGTTCCAGCGGCAGACAGGAGGCATCGTCTAAAAGGGAGCCTGCTCCTTTCCTCCTTTCCTTCTGGTCCTCAGGACGAGAAGCCATTTTCAATTTGAAAACAGCAGTTAGGTTCCACCACATCTTGACGACGACAGTATATACTTTTCTCTATTCTTTCATTTCCCCTTCCCCATTCCTTTATTGCACATAAAGTAACTGGTGTATTGTGCATAAGCATACTGCATTCTCGTTCCTTTGTTTATTTTGCTTTTTACTAAATGGTCAATGGTGTGTTTTGATGGACATCAGGTGGAGACGGCATGGGAAAAATGCTGCTCTGGTGAACACCCCCTGAGTTAGTTAATTGTGCCAGCCTGGCCGCTAATCACATGTGGGGCTGGTTGAAAGGCGGAGGGATAAATGGGTGGTGAAGCCTCGCCTTTCTAGTTCTCGGGTCTCTTGCTTTGTGATGGTTGCATCGGGTGCAGCTGCCTTAGCAGTTCCCTGCTTCAGCTTGCAAGATGGACTTCCTACAAGAAATCCCCAAGGAGAAGCCACATGGATCTATCCCGATGCAGCCCTGGGTGCTGGAGCAGCCGTGTGGAGACCCCTGCCAGTGCTGAGATGCTTACCTGTTCACGGACTCAGCTTTCCTCCTGCAGTCGGCATCATTGCCTCTGTTTTGTGAGGTGAAGGACTTTGTGGACTGGTGTTGGGTATGGGTTAATGTTGGACTTGTGGGCTTGGGCAGCATTGGGTTGGGTGGGATGTTTTCGTGATGCACATTTTCTTTGCATAAAACTCTCTCTTATACATGAGTTGCTGTGGATTTGTTTCTCCAAAGTACCTAGACTAATACACCCCCCTTCTCCATTCATGGCATGCTCGTCTCTCTCAGGTCTTTATATTCCTGTAAGTTTTTCACTCACACTGTTTAACAACAACAACAACAAGAATTCTTGCCTACTTTGGGGAATTTAATGTTTTTCATTCATTGTTGTAAAACCAAGGACAATTTTATAACTTTTTCACACCTGGCTGTTACATGTAGGGCAATCTGTCTTTAAGAAGGGGTAAATTACTATCAGAGAAATGAAGCCTGGATAGTTTTCCCTTCAAGGCAAGTGTCTGGTTGTTTAAATAAGTTGCTTCTTTAATAAATAGTGATTATATACGCGGATTCCAAAAGGTAACATATCATTAAGAACCAAGGCCTGAAGGAAGAAGTCTAAGCTTTACTGGAGACATTATTAAACAAAACAAAAACAAGGCCTTAGGAATTGACAGAAGACCAGTTGAAATGTTTCAATAAGCTGATGAAGTACTGAAAGCAATCACTTGCCTATGCAAATAAATTTGGAAGACCTGGACAACTGACTGGAAGAGATCTACATTTGTACCCGCCCAGCCCTCCCCCACTCCCCCCAAATGTGACCAAACAGAATGCAGAAGTTCTTGAACAATATCATTAATATCACATGTGTTTAAAATTTTGCTGAAGATCATTCACCAATGCTTGCAGCAGTACATAAACAGGGAGCTGCTAGAAATTCAAGCATGGAATGAGGGATATGATTTCTGACATCAGATGGATCTTGGCTGAAAACAGAGAATACCAGAAAGATGTTGACTTGTATCTTATTGACTATGCAAAGGCATTCAACTGTGTAGATCCTACCAAACTATGAACACCTTTGATAAAATGGGAATTCTAGAATACAGAATCTATGCGTGAACCCAACATAGGGATTTGAGCAGGAAAAGAGGGTCCTGCATGGTGTAAAATCAGGAAAGGTGTGTGTCAGGGTTGTATCCTCTCACCATGCTTATTGAATCTGTACACTGAGCAATCAATCTGAGAAACTGAACTATATGAAGAAGAACAGCATCAGAAATGGAGGAAGGCTTATGAATAGCTTGTGATATGGAAATGAAGCAACATTCCTTGTTGAAAGTGAGAACTTGAAGAAGCATTTGTTGATGAAGATCAAGGATTGCTGCCTTCAATATGGATTCCAACTCATCAAAAGAAAACCCAAATCTTCATAACTGGACCAGTAGACAACATGGTGATAAATGGATACAAGTTTTAATCTTGTTTCAATCCACAATTAATGTTCATGGAAACAGAAGACAAGAAATCAAACAATGCATTGCATTGGGAAAATCTGTGGCAGAAGATCTCTTTAAAGCATTGAAGAGCAAGGATGCCACTTGGAGGACTAAAGTAAGCCTGACCCCAGTCCTGGTCTTTCAGTTTCCTCATAGGCATGCAGAAGCTGGACAGTGACTAAGAAAGACCACAGAAGAACTGATGTATTTGGATGAAGGTACTTTTGTAAACACACTGGAAGTTCCATGGACTGCCAGAAGAACAAACACCTTTATCTTGGAAGAAATAAAACCCAAGCGCTCCTTATAAACCATAATGGCAAGATTGTCTCATGTACTTTGGATGTGTAATCAGGAAAGACCAGGCCTTGGAAAAGGACATCATGCTTGGTAAAGTTGAGGGGCATGTAAAAATGGATTGACACAGTGGCTGCAACTATGGGCTCAAGCATAATAATTGTGAGAATGGCACAGGACTGGACAGTATTTTGTTCTGTTGTACATTACGTTGCTGTGAGTCATAATTGATTCAAAGGCACCTAACAACAACTACAACACTATATGAGAATACATTTTTCAAGTGATGAAATTTTAACATCATAATTGACAGTGTTGTGTGTATGTCTTTTTTTACTTATTGAAATAAAAATAAGTGTTGATGTCTCATACAAACAATAACAAATAAGTGTTGATTGTCTCGTACAAACAATAACAAAGTCAATGAATTATGGTTGGCCTTTTTGTTGTTAGATGTTGTTGAGTCAGTTGCTACTCAGGGAAATCTTATGTGTAACAGAATGAAACCCTACCAAGTCCCGAATCAGCCTCATAACTACCATTGTTTGAGCCCATCATTGCAACCTCTGTGTCAATCCTGTTAGATGATCTTGCTAATTTTCTTTTGCTCCTGCTTTAGAAAGTGTGATGTCTTTTTCTAGGAATTGGTCTTTCCTGATAGCATGTCCAAAGTATTTGAGGTATGGTCCCCACGTGCTTACTTCAAAGAAGTGTTCTGGTTGTATTTCATCCAAGATGGTCCATGATATTTTTGGTATTCTTCACCAACACCATAATTCAAATGCATCAATTCTTCAGTTGTCCAACATCAGATGCATATGAGCTGATTGAAAATACTATGGTTTGAGTCAGGGGTATCTTAGTCCTCAAAGTAACCACTTTGTTCTTTAACTCTTTAAAGAAATATTATGCAGCAGATTTGCCTAATAGAGTATGTTGCTTGATTTCTTCACTGCTGTCTCCATGAGCACCAATCATAGATCCAAGTAAAATGAAATCCTCATAATTTCAATCTTTTCTCCACTTCTCATGATGTTATCCATTGGTCCAGTTGGAGGGAGTTAGGTTTTCTTTATGTTGAGTTGTAGCACATATTGAAGGTTGCAATCCTTAGTCTTCATCAATAAGTGCTTCAAGTCCTCTTCCCGTTCAATAAGCAAGGTTGTGTCATCTGCATATAGCAGGTTGTCAATAAGCCTTCCTCCTTTACTGATGCTGCATTCTACTTCATACAGTCCAATTTTTCAGATGATTTGTTCATCATACATATCAAATAAATGTGATGAGAGAATATAATCATGAAATGTAATAAAATATATTAAAGATTATATGAATGAATAAAGTAGAGGCATTCATGAATGACTTTCATAGTTGTTTTTGTTCTTTTTAAATCACACTGGCATTGTGGTGGTTAGGTGCTATTGAGTCCGTTCCAACACATGGCAATCCTGTGCACAAGAGAAGAAAACAATGCCATCCTCAGAATTATTGCCATGGGGGGCCCACTGTTGTAGCCACTGTGTCAATCAGTCTTGTGGAGAGTTGTTGTCTTCCTCCCTGAGCCTCCACTTTACCGAGCATGACGTTCTTCTCTAGGGGCTGGCCCCTTCTGACCGCTTGCCAAAGATTATAAGGCGAAGTCTCACCATTCAGAAGCATGTAAAGAGTATTCTGGCTTTGCTTTTATGAAGACATATTTATTTGTTTTACTGGCAATCTATGGTAGATTGGATGTTCTTCATCAGTACCATAATTTAAAGGTATTAATTCTTCTCTAGTTTTTGTATTCATTATTTAGCATTCACACTATGTGACACAAGTTAAACGTTTTTTGTTAGGTGAACCCTAATTCTCAAAGTAACACCATTGCCATTCATTTTTTTTATTTAGCTCCACAAAGATTTAACTTAAAGATTTCTCTCTGAAGCATCTTTTTAAAATCACATGTTTTTTAAGCAAAACTATCAAATGTACATCCATTATTTTTCAACATATAAACACTAGGGCAATATACTTATAAAGGCAATGTTTCCATCTCTCTAACTCCTCCCCCCACCATTTTATTAGGAGCTAATCCAAACATTATGCCATTCCATAGTTCAATCATATCAAACAGTGTTGGGCAATCGTTCCCAAATCCATTTCAAAGCATTTTCTTCCTGCTTGAACAACTTGATATCACCTCTCCTGGGTTTCAGTGCTGTCTACGCGTTGAAGAGGTCTTTTGCATATAAGTTTCATGTGCACATAACTGTTTTGAATTCCTGTTCTTTTCAGTGATATCTATAATTTGGCATGACCCTCACAGTTGAATGCCCTTGCATAGCCAGATAAACATTACTATGCTTACTAAAAGTCTAGTTGTTCTGTCTTGCAGGTGTTGTGGCAGGCAAGAATTGAGCATTGTTTTTCATTCAGGACTTTTGTTGTAAAAGTAAAATAATCAAGCAACTCAAATTGTTCTTCCTTTTAATCATCTCTTCTTCCAGTGACTTGACCCTTATCATGTGCTTGTCTTCTAGGTGAGATTGACCTTCAGATTCTCTCCAAAATACAAGCTCAATATCCAGGAATTCACATAAAAAATGAAGTTGTTGAACCAAGTGCTGAGCAAATTGCTAAGTACAAAGGTATCAGTGTGTACCTCATGATGCTACTTGCCAAATCCTATCCCAAAAGGCTTATCATCCCCAAAGTGTCCCTTGGATCATTAACAGCACAGTTTACTGTGGCATGCTCTTTGTAAGCTTGTTGGGAGAGGAACCTAATTAATTTGTTTTCTTGGCAGGCATGACTAAACACTTTAAATATGAACCATAAATAATTAGACTCCTTTTCTTATCAACTCTCCATCTATTCCCCAGTCATCTTTTTTTTCTTTTACACTATTTATTCATAGGCTCAGAGTCATTGCTTAATCAGAAATATTTAAAGAATTTATGTTTGAGGAATTACCCTGAGTTGATTATTATTATTTTTTCTGAGGAGATCCAGTCATATAGTAAATATTTCAGGCTTGGCAGGCCTGGTAGTCTCTGACTCTAGTACTCTACCCTCTGTAGTAGCATAAACGCCACCATTGACAATAGGAAAACTAATGGATGAAGCTGTTTCTCAGTAAATCTTTATTTATGGAATTCTGAAATTTATCTGAAATTTAATCTTTATCGAAATCCGAATATTATGCAATTCTCATGTGTCTTAAAATATTATGATTCTTTTTAGTCTTTTAACTATTTAAGAATGTGAAAAAATGTTCTTAGCTTGATGTCCATACAAAAACCGTAGGCACCTGGGCTGTAGTTTGTTAACTTCTGTGTAGCAAAATCATAGCATTTATTTCACATCAATTTCCCATTGGAAAAAATCTACCCCTATTTCCTAATTAAGAATAAGATCATGTAACCTGTGTCTGACCAGGATTCTCATTGTTATTTTTGATTGGCTCTTTAACTTCTAATTTCATTTAATTCAAGAAAAAAAATCCAAAGTAACTCTCTGATCTCCCAGAGCTCTGTAGGAAAGAAAAATGTGCTTTATACCTGTTATGTATATAACATTGATTGCATTAAAATTCTAAATGGAAATGGGTTCTACATTTGCAATTAAAATTAATGGTGTGCTACCGCTTCTCTGTATTTTAGAACTTGTAGCCAAGACATCAAACCTCGAGAACATAAAGTTTGCTTGGCATAAGGAAACATCGTCTGAATATCAACATAGAGTGACGGAGAAAAAAGAGCATCAAAAATGGAACTTTATTCATATGATTCAGGTAAGAAATATTTATTATAATATACTATCAGAAATGTACCTGAAGAGTGCCTAACGTTCTAATGTGTAAAGGAAAAAGAAAAGAATATTCTTCTGATTTGTAGTTTGGTAAGGAAACATTCATTGTGTGGCCAAATTGAAGATAAAGATTTTGGAAGTGACTTGATGGCAGGGAGTCTGGTTTGGGTTTAATGAATTGGAATCGATTCCATATCAGTGAGGATAAATGGTTTGTAAGCATTTAAAGTTCTTATTTTTAAAATTCAGTGTACCTCCACAGTTATCTTTTTTTAATGTTGGGTTGATTATTTTTTCTAGCAATCATTCTAGGGTTGAAACTCATGGATAGGTTTGCAGACATGGGAATGCAGACATTCCCATCCTATTAGTTTCTTAATAATGTTAGCAGTCTAGAGAGCCTTCACAGTGCCTTGCTGTGGGCTTTCCGAGGTGACCTGGCTAGTGGACATGTCAGGAGGAGCACGTGAGACGGGTCTTCAAGTCATTCAGCTTTACTGACAGCGGATAGCCACTCTGCAGGTAATCATTTCCTTGGTTCAGCACTGACTGACTAGATAATGGATTTGGAAGTGGGTGAATCTTTTATAAATGGTATGGAACCATATTCCCAGGGAACACAGATAGTGCTGGCTGCCATATGCAATGTATAGACTTTATTTATTTTCAAATATTTCATGGTGATTGAGGTGAAAGTTCACAGAGTATGTAGCTTTTCCATTCAATGGTTCACACACTCTGTGTTTCATGACAATAGTTATACTCCTCTCAATGGAGCAACAATCTTCCCACTTCTTCCCTGGGGTCTCTGCTTCCATTTGTTCTTCTTCTTTCCTACTTTCTGAACATATTTGGAGGCAAATAGTGCCCTTTCGGTCTCTATTGCTTGTGGATTGGTTGCATTGCTTGTGGATATTATTGTCCTCTTTATAGGTCTGTCTATTTTTTGCCATCTCCAGGGATGGATTCAGTTCCATATTTAGGTGTTGCATTGTCTCTATCAGACCAGTCATTCCACTCTTTTTCATGCTCTCGAATTCTGTTCTAATTTATCTCCTACCCTATCCAGAACTTTCAAATCTGATCCTGATCAGAGTGGTCAGTAATAGTAGCCAGGCACCAGGTAGTTTGAGCTTGTTGCCATAGCTACTATGTCAATCCACTCCTGATAACATGCCCAAAGTATATGAGACAAAGACTCACCATCCTGGCTTCTGAAGAGCAATCTGACTGTATTTCCTCCCTGACAGATTTGTTTGTTGTTCTGACCGTCTGTGGTGCTTTAATACTCTTTGCCAACACTCTAATTCACATGTGTCCATTCTTGTCCAGTCTCCCTTATTCCTTGTCCAGCATTCATATGCATAGGAGGTGATTGAGAATACCATAGGCTGGGTCAAAGTGCCATATTTATTATTTAACTTAAAAAATCATTTTATTGAGGGCTCATACAACTCATCACAATCCATCCATCCATCTATTGTGTCAAGCATATGTGCACATTTGTTGCCATCATCATTTTCAAAACATTTCTTTCTACTTGAGCCCTTGGTATCAGCTCCTCATATTATTTCCTCCCCCCACCACCCTCCCTCCCTCACAAACCCTTGATAATTTATAAATTATTATTATGTTTTCAAGTCTTATACTGACTGACCTATGTCTCCCTTCACCCACTTTTCTGTTGTCTACCCCCTGGGAGGGGGCTATATGGGGATCATTGTGATTGGGTTCCCCTTTCTCCCCCCACCTTCCCTTTTCCCTCCTGGTATCTCTACTTCATTATTAGTTCTGAGGGGTTTATATGTCCTGGATTCCCTATGTTTCCAGATAATATCTGTACTAGTGTACATCCTCTGGTCTAGCCAGATTTGTAAGGTAGAATTGGGATCATGATAGTGGCGGGGAGGAAGCATTAAAGAACTACTGGAAAGTTGTATGCTTCATCGGTGCTATACTGCACCCTGACAGGCTTGTCTAATCCTTGTGACCCTTCTGTAAGGGGATGTCCAATTGCCTGCAGATGGGCTTTGGGTCTCCACTCTGCAGTCCCGCTCATTCAAAATGATATGATTTTTTGTTCTTTAATGACACTTTATGATCTTGTTGACATTTTATGATCACACAGGCTGGTGTGCTTCTTCCATGTGGGCTTTGTTGCTTCTCTGCTAGATGATCGCTTGTTTACCTTTAAGCTTTTAAGACCCCAGATGCTATATCTTTTGATAGCTGGGCACCATCAGCTTTCTTCACCATATTTGCTTATGCACCCACTTTGTCTTCCTGTTGGGAAGGCTAGCATCAAGGAATGCCAACTTAATAGAACAAAGTGTTCTTGTGTTAAGGGGGTACTTGAGTAGAGACCCAATGTCAATCTGCTACCTTAATACTAAACTTATAAATAGATGTACATAGATTTATTTCCGCATCATCATATATACATGCCCTATTGTTACATATGTGCATGCCTATATTCAGAGCTCTATAAATGCCCTTTGTCTCCTAGTTCTTTCCTCTATTTCCTTTTACTTTCCTCTTGTCCTACTATCATTTTCAGCTTTCATTTGGGTTTCAGTAATTCTCTGCTACATTGCCCTTGATCAAGCTGTATCAGGCCTCCTACACCCTCCTTGGTATCTATTTTAGATCACTTGTTATTTCCTTGTCCCTGGGGTTGTTAACACCCACTTCCTTTTCCCCCACCTTCCCCTCACTCATGTTCCCCCAGAACTGGTCCCATTGATTTCTCCTCCACAGTGTTTATGCCGCCACCTATCTTATCTAGATAGACATGCAGAGATAATAAAATGCACAAAAAAAGAAAACAGAGCACAACAAAGCAACAAAAGAAAACAAATCAACAGCAAAAAGAAAAACTGATAAATAATTCAAGCTCTGTTTGTTGACCTTTAGGAAAATTTTCCAGTCCAGTTTGATGGAGTGCCAGACCCTAGCCCCAAAGTCTATTTTTGGTATTCGCTGGGGACTTAGTTGCTCTGTTCCTCTTGCTGTTCTATTGAACACCCTTAGTGTTTCCCTTCAGTGTGGTGGGGTCAGATCAGGTGCAATTCCTGCACTGTGACTCCAGTGTTGTCCCCCATAGCACTATACATCCGTGTTGTCCCCTATAGCGCTATGCGTCTTTGAGGGACATCACATCTCGTAGTGGGCTGGCCATATGGTCCTCTCTGTGCATTGGCTGCTCTGAGCAGGGATATCATCCTCAATTCTTGGTGGGCCAGGATGTGCTCCATTCTCTCTTTCTCCTCCTTCATTTGCTCCTGTGTGCTGTGATCATACATGTCCCTCTTCCTGAGCTGTAGCTTCAGTGCTGTCCTCTGAAGTGAATTCTGTGAGGAGCGGGGTTTGTTCACATAGTTGGGATTAGGGCCCGCCCGACAGACCCACTGGTTCCCTTGTTCATGCTGGTATGTTGCATTCACATCTTGGAGCACCGGGTTGAAGTCTGGTCCCTCTTTCCCTGTGGAGATATAAACAATACCCTCCCCTTGGGTGCTTTAGTGCCCTGTTCCCTGCTACCCATGTCTTTTTTTCTCCGCACCCCCCTCCTTTTTAGTTGGCTACCATATGCATTCCTGGATTTGGTCTGGCCCCTGCCATATTACCTGGACCTCACCCCAGGAATGTTTGTATACTTTTTGTACAAAATGTTTGTAGCTTTTTCCCCTATGGCCCTTTTGCATTTTTAAGCTTACCGCAGTGGACTCGAGTTGTACTTGTCCTTTTGTGCTTGGTTTACTTTGCTTAGCCTGATTTCCTCCAGTTCTTCTCATGTGGTGATGTGCTTCTTGTGTTCATCATTGCTTTTTAGGGATGCATAGTACTCCATTGTATGTATGTACCACAGTTTTTAAATCCATTCAGGTTTTGTGCAGCATATTTGCCCAAATGTAATATTTCACTTGGTTCCTCAATTGAGGCTTCCATGATCATTGATTGTGGATCCAAATACAATGAAATCAATATTTTCTCTTTCTATCATGCTGTGAATATTTTTTGTTTTATTTGTATCAGTTGTAATCCATACTGCATTCTGTTGCCTTTGATCTTCACCAGTAAGTACTTCAAGTGTTTTTTTAATCTTCAGCAAGCAAGGTTATGTCACCTGCATATGTAGGTTGTTAGTGAACCTTCCCCCAATCTTGATGCTGCATTATTTTTCACATAGTTCACTTCTCTGATTATTACATATGAGGTTAAGTAAAATGGATTGTTGGCATTTTTCTAGTTCATATGTACATGGGTTTGTTCCAAACAAAGCATGTTTAAACATGAGTGTAAGACTGCAAACAAGTCCTTTCAGTAATACACTTTTCTGAGTTTCCTTGAGGTGCCCTAATTAAAAAAAAAAATCCTATTAAAACCGTGACTTCTAAGGGAATCTGCTGGGCCAGTTAAATTGAAGGCCAAGCCATCAACTCAGCAGGTTATGTTGACTGTTTGGGGGAATTCTAAGGAATAATTCAGATAGATTTACTTGAAGAGCACAGAGCAGTCACAGGTTTTATTATGAAGAAATATCAAGAAAATTAAAAGTCACAGTGATGAGAAAAATCCAGGAACGTTGGGCTGAGGCTTTTTTCCCTGCATCACAAGAATCCTCACCTTTGAAGGTAGCAAAGGCTGTCCTATGAGAATTCAGTGGGAAAACTTCCTCTTGTCTGTCCTAACAGCCTGATTCCCAAAGTTTTATTCCCAAAGTTCAACGAGCCCCGAACATGAACAAGATCTGGATCCCTCAAGGATGACCATGCTGCCATTTTGATGTTAAAGAGCCCAGGATTCTTAAAGGGAAAAGGTTGAAGATATAGAAAGATCATCTTAAGAAACGTATAGACCTACATGGAGGAAATGCTAAGAAATAGTAGCTTCCCGTCTTTTGATATTTTTTTAATAAAAGTTTCTCTGACTTTGGTGTAATGTTCTTGGTCTTGATCTCATATATAGATATTTTTACAGAATGTAAAATTACATGTGTAGCCATGTCAGCTGCAAAACATATATGCTTTTGGTATATTTGTGCAAGCCCTCGCATACCTGTGTTCTGATTGGAAATATTGAAATGTTGGTTAGAGTATTCTGTAAACATCTAGGAGGTTGAATTCTTTATGTTCTTTATCCTTCCTGCGTTTTGTTCTCATTGTTCTGTCTTACAATGAAAAGAGTGTATATTTTTATTATTTTTATTTTCATTACATGTTATTTTATTATATTCTTATTATTGCGTAACTGTCTAGTTCTCTTATAAAGCATATTAGAGCTTCTTTCATATATTTTGAACCTAATGTACACATTAGTTGTGGACATATTTATTATAATTGCAGTGGATTGAACTTTGAATCATTATATAATCCCCATCCTTATCTTTTATGGATTTTGCCCTTAAGGTCACATTGTCAGAGAGTAATATGACTACTTCTATCTTTTGTTTAATGTTTTCTAGATATATATTTTTACATTTTAAATTTTATTTTATTTATCACTTGGCTTGTAAGCGGTTTCTCTTTTAGGCAGCCTATTGCTTAGTTGTGATTTTTAAAATGCATTCTATCATTTCCAACTTACTTAGTGATATATTTAAACCAATGCATTTGGTGTGGTTATCAATAAGTAAATATTTACTTCTGTTCTTTTTTTATGTGTATTTTTAAGGTGTTGATAGTTCCTTTGTTTTACTTAATTTTTTTATTGATTTCATTTTGTTGGTGGATTTCCCTTCCTTTCTTTCGTTGTTAATTTTGTGTCTATTGGGTCTTTATGTTTTTCTTTTATTTTGCTGAGTAAATGTGTTAACTTAGGCCACTGGCTTTGGATGGGGGGTAGGGGAGGTAGTGAGTGAGGTGAGGAGCCTTAACTTCCACAGATTGAGGGCACTTTTTCCCGGCTCTGGGTATGGGTGCCGGATCATTCCTGCTTGTCTGCACCAGGTGATTGAAAACTTCTACTGGAAATGCTTCTTGATTTATCTCAATATGGTCATGCTGTGTATATCCATCTAACACGCTCTGATGCTTGGTACTTCTTTGGGTCTAAAGTTTGTGCACCACCTCTCTTTGAACTTTGCACTCCGTCCAGTTTCTCACCCTTGCTTTTCATAGTCAGGTTTCCAACGTTGTCATCTCTATCCAGTTCACTTGTTTTTGTGTGTCTTTGTTGGATAGGGGCGTTCTGAAGTGTCTGACTATGCCACCGTCTTGATCTGATTCCGGGTATACAGGACTTACATATTGGTTAGCATCTGAAGTTGTGCATGTTTTAGAAATAACCACTAGACTAACATTAGGACCCATTTTCATTCCTGTAGACCACACTATGGTTACCTCAAAGGAATAAACTTAGAAAAAATCAAATGAAGAAATGACTCCAAGATTGATCGTAGATGTTCCAACATCTCAGCTGCTTTAGCTGACAAAATCATATACTTAAAATGGAATACTTTACCTTGTTCAGCAAAACTATGCTGCATTTTTATTAACATTGCACAAATAATTATTTCATCCTGTCCCTCTATCCTTATACCCCCTCAATCACAGTTGATGATTTTATTTTATATTATACAGGGAAAAGAGAATATCAGACAGATACTAACCTTGCCCTTATCATTGCCTTCTTTGATCTTATTCAAAATACCTCCTATCGACAAAAGTCACCATCTCCACCACGTCTCTGCACCCAATATCCCTCCCCATTATAACAGGTTGCACCTTCAGAGATCAGCTTCTTCCTCTTTCTCTTACAAGACCCATGTTCTCTGTTTCTTACAGCAACTATGTTTCCCTTTGTCTTGCAATGCTCCGTTCAGTCTTTCTCTTCTGCTCTACAGATTTCTTGTGCCATGTGTCTTCCACTATGTTGTGCTTGTTACGCTCATGGCATTCTTTCAAATTAATATCTACAGAGAACTGTGGAGAATGTCATTGTATTTCAGAACAAGTTGCAGGCGTCTACCATATACCATTTCCTCTCTTTTAACCAGAATATTTCTTAGGTTGTTGAATGTCTTACTGATCAGCTGAATTTGAGTAAGGATCTACGGTCCCATAGCAGACAGCATGGAATACATATGGGATGGAGGCAGAATTGGCCAGAGGCAGGTCATTTTTATTTTATTAGTTCGTATGAGAGGGAAATAACTTCAGTTGTGTTCCCTTTATGTAATGGCTTCTGTTGCAGGGAAACAGTACACATAATACTAAATTCTTGTCCAAGAAACATCAAGATGAAATCTAAGGAGAAAGTGTCTATGAGAATGGATTCCAAAGATTGAAGTCTTTAGTGAACTTCCGCACTTCCAATGCATAATTCCAAGTTCTGTCTGTCTTGATTTTTTTTCTGTTCTTCCCAGTGGTTCACTCAGATTTAGTAGCAATGGGTGGGATGACTGCTAGGACTCAGTGATCAAGCATGTAACCTATGCTCACCCACTCCTGTTTTTCCTAGGGAATCTGTCTATAACAGCCTGCCACTTTTTCTATGATTTTAGAAAAAGCATCTGTGAACATATGGTGAAGCTAGTGTAAAGGGTTTAATTTTAAAGCATCATTCCATGAAATGTGACCTGTTTTTATGCTGCGAGCACCATTTTCTCTCAGAAGAACTACAATTCACAAAACATTGAGTAGGCATAGAATCAATGCCCTCATGTGAAGT